CTATAAATAGTGTTGGTACTGCACTGCTTCCCCCTCCTGAGACGCTGGATTGTGGACCAGAATTGCTTCGAAGCCATACGGAAGTCTTTCTCCATGTCCTCTCCTAACTCTTCCCACGCCCAGGTTTTTGCCTTAGCAACAACCCGTGCCACTTTGACTGCACTCATCTGCTGCTTCTGGAGTCCCACAGGTCAATAAAGCCCCATAGGACTCCTTCTTCAGCTTGACAGCTTCCCTCACCGCTGGCCTACCAGGTCTGACCGGTGACAGGTGCAGCCTTATTTTTGGAGATAACAGCATATTAGCAGTTATGATAAGGTAATTATTTTACCTGGTTTAGCAGTTATATAATTTGAATAACCTGCAGTCATGTAATTTACCATTAACCCCCAATTTAGATATATTCTAAAGTCAAGTCAGATGTTGCCTGACAGCTAAAGCTTGGATCAAATTAGATCATGAATTGGGGTTTTATCCCACAAAAAACAACACCCATTGACCAAAACCCAACATGCTTGCAATGGTTCAGTCAAGGCCAGAACCAGACCTGTTAAATGATGTAAAAAGGACAAAAAGGTTATTTTCTCCGGTTTGCAATTGAATTATCCAATAATGTAAAGAAAGTTGGCAAAAATACACCCGTAATAATGTGAGATACCGATAAGAATTTTAATTATTGCTACAGTACCAGTGGCCAAAATCTGATGAAAATGAAAAAAATAAATAAATAAATTAGCTAACTAATCAAAACAAAAACAAATACTGTTTTTCAAATTAACAATGATGATAATAATGATAATATATTTGAATGACCCGTGTGGAAAAGCTTGAGGTGTGTTTTTAGAACTGATTCAGGATACTTACTTTTTTTTACATTTGGATAATTACTCTTTGGCAATTAGAAAAAGAGCAAAAATATAAAAAAAATTAACAATTTAAAAGTACTTATAGTCATTAAAAGTTATTTTACAATACAATCAAAGTATAAAAAGTTATTTATGAAGAGCTCCAAAAAGCAATCTAAACAACATTTTACACAAGTTGATTTAGTTTGGATGAAGGGTAGAGGTACTGTAGGCATTTTAAAACAAGCGGTTTCTGGCTGTTCTCATCATTTTTTTTTATCAACTGAGGAACATGGTGTTTTAGCACAGTGTGTAAGAACAAAATGGACTGGGGTGAAAACAAATACAAAAGCAGGCAGCCCTGAGATCCATCTGACACAACGCAGGAGGATGTTTACAGACAGCACTCCTGGCATTGCAAATGTAAGCTGCAGCAGACAGAAACAGCTGATTGAACCTGAATGTTCTGTTCCTCCTCTTTCAGTCATTACTGGTGCTTCAGAAGGTGTTGGGAGAGCTTATGCATTTGCAGTAAGTGAAATGATAAGTTGTATCTGAAATTCCAATTAAAAGATGTTTACCTTTGATTTTATGACCCTTCACAAATTTTTGAATGTGGACATTTTCTTACTGATTTACTGTCCCAAACTGTACTACCTCTCAGCTTGCCGAGAGAGGAATGAATGTTGTTATCATGAGTCGGACCAAAGCAACGCTGGACCAGGTGGCAAAGGAAATAGGTAAGGAAACGTGTTTTATGGCTGCAAAATATCAACTAATGTCTTATTAATCATGTGTAAAGGTTCCTATTTTCCAAATGTCACAGGTGAAAAAACAGGACGGACAGTGAAGGTGGTTGTGGCAGACTTCAGCAAGGAGAATACCTTTGCAACTATAGAGGAAGAGATAAAAGACCTTAATGTTGGGGTTTTAGGTTCGACCTTTATATTCCCTTTGTTTATATGTAAAGCACAAGTTGCTATATTACAAACAAAATATACATAAAGACATTTTCTATTTTCTAAACATTTACTTTTTTTCTCCCCAAACCCAGTAAACAACATTGGGGTGCTCCCCAACATCATCCCCTCCAGGTTTCTGGAATCGGAGGACCTGGACAAGGTCAGTGGAAGGCCACATGCTTCTGCATACTATACGTCCATGAGGATTTTTCTGAACTAACACTATACCCTCCTAACTTTAACATTCATGTACAGATTTAAAGGCATAGGCTTGGTTTTTGCACTAATCCAGTTGTACAAAAGAAAATTACAACAACTAAACCTAAACAGTTAATTTGTATCCAGGTGAATAATATGTCTCTTTTGATAGTTCAAATAAAAAAGTGAAACAATGATTTATAATATTATTCAATTCAATTCAGCTCAGAGTATTTATACAGTGCCAATTCACAACACATATCATCTCAGGGCACTTAACGAGACAGATCAACAAGATCACACAGTCAGGTTGGCTCATAGTTTTCTTTCTAAGGAAAACCAGCTGATTGCATCGACTCATTGACTCGAAAGCAATTCCTCACACCAACATGCTTGTAGTGACAGTGGAGAGGAAAAAACCCTTAACAGGAAGAAACCTCCAGCAGAACAAGGCTCATTGGGAGCAGCTATCTGCCGAGGCCAACTGGGGTTCAAGGAGACAGAAGCAGACATACAGAAAGAAGGAGAGATACAAAAGGCAACTGTCAACCAGCTCCACAGGCAGCCCCTTCCAGGAAACACACAGCCAGGCAGACAAGCTCAGAGCCAGCTCCCAGAGGATGAAAGAGAGTGCATCAAGTTAGTCATAGTCAGAGAAACAGGACTACACTGAAAAACACTATGAGAAAAAGCAGAGACAGCATAACATTAGAGATTGAACTAACAAATACTGCAGAATGGGAGAATAGAGATAGAATGTAACAGAATGATGAAATGGGGGTCCCTATGTCCTCCAGAAGTCTAAGCCTATAGCAGCATAACTATAGAGAT